GTTGTTACTTTTATTTCATTTTTGCTTGTTTTCAGCTTATTGTAAAAAATAAATACTATCCATATAAATTGTGCCTCCTAGATAGAGTGAATTTAATTGTGGTTGAATTAGAAGTATAAATATATAAAATTTTGATACCGTATTAGTTTGGACACAAACAAATCATGGCACACTCCAGCGTTACAGGCAAAAGGCACACATGCAAAAGCACAAGGAGTCGAAGACTGGAGAAAATCTTTTCCACGGGACGACCAAGGAGGCCTCAGAGAGCATCTGCCGCAACAACTTTGACCCCCCGACTGAACAGTGGAAACTTCCACGGTCAGGGCACGCACTTTGCCACCACCTCAAAGCTGTCCCACAACTTCACAGGCGTGCAGGGGCCAGCTGAGGTTCGCCACGTTTCTGGCCAAAGTCCTGGTGGGAAGGGCGTGCCTGGGAAATCAGCATTATCGCCGACCGCCACCGTACAACTCCCAGACTCAGCAGCACGCTCTCTACAATTCCTGCGTTGACAGGATGGAAAATCCCAAGATGTTTGTAGTTTTCGATAGCTGTACTACCCTTACTACCTCATTAAATACAACTACCTCATTAAATACAGAGAGCGTTTCTGAAAGATTGGCATTCACGACTAAACTCCGAGTGAGTTCATTGTTCAAATAAGAGCATTCACGTTGACTGATTATGAGCAGGAATTGTTTTTTTTTTATTTGAGTTTGCTGCAAGTGTTCCAGTTTACATAAAATTTCAAAAAAATATGCAATACAGTTCCACTTTGCAGTGTTTTGAAATGAATCAGGCGGTAAAAAAAATCCATTGGAAACTTGTGATTCTTTTAGGAGAACGACTTTTATTTTAATTTCACCAAGTGACATCCAAGGGAAATGAGTAATTCCTTTATTCTCTCGTGTTTTAAATTGAACTGAAAGTTCAGAAAATATTTCCATTGGATACATTCATTTTTTCCATCATAATAAAACATGAAACAAGTTGGATAGTTTGTTTTTATTTGTTGATATAATCCAGCCACATAACTGTCTAAATAAACTTTAAGACTGGAATATTTTTGACAAAAGCCTTTCACAGTAAAGGAATATATTTAAAAATATTTCTTTATAAACCATCGCTCTTCATAACTAAATTGCACAATTCATTATTTCCGCAGAGTACAAAATGAACATTTGGGGGTTTAATAAATGAAACTTTCAAAACAATATGATAGTTTGTAATTACAGGAGGACTGGATAATTTACTGTTAAAATAACCCTTTATGATTTTTGTGTTGGTTTAATAAAGTGTTTTAATCTGAACTCAAAAACAGAAATATTCGAAAATGCCTTGTTTTTTTTAAACGACACTATTGACAAGAAAACATGTTTAAATACAATGTGTATTTGTCATCATAAAATGTGCAATTCTGCATGAGTTTTTGTAATAACTCAACTTGCAAAAAAAGAAAAAAAAAACCATCACAGCCACAAACACACATACACACATTTTTTTTAAATATGCATTTGACACAAGAATACATGAGAAGACAGCGCAAATATGATAGATTAATGCTAAAATTTGTTTTATAGTACAAACACGTTTGAAGATGTGAAAACAAACAAGAACATAAAGTGGCCGTTCAAGCACTCAGGTTGGGTCAGATTGGAGCACAAAGTTTGGCCTGCAGGTGGCGCCAAATGGAAGGCCGTGTCATGGATTTCAAAATAATTGCTGACAGCTAAACAGAGAGGAAAACAAAACATGAAGGCATCCCACGCAACGTAAAATACAAGAATAAATTCACGCGTCACATATTTTAAAACATAATTATTTTTGCACTTGTTAGCTCGTATGATCCACCATTAGCCCCCATCACTGAGGAATTATGAGTTCCTTTTTWAACCCGAACATTCATGCACACTTACAGATGTACACACAAGTGATGGAAACCCTCCAGGAAAAATTCCATTAGGAGAGAAAAGAAAACGGCACAAAGCGAGACGAGGTCTGCGCACGGCGCGCCGGCTTCTACTCACAGGCCAGCTTGCTATCGAAGCTTGACAGACCGATGGCGAAGGCTTGAAGAGCACACATGGGGTAATTGTAGTCGAGGGTGAAGACGTCTTCGGCGATCCGCCCGAACTGCATGACGATGTAGTCGGCTGGGGTTTGGAGGAACACAACGAAAAACGAGTCAACGGACGGCGGAACGAATGATGACAATAGAAAAGAGAACGTGCTTACGGTCGTTGTCATGGACGATTTGAAAGTTTTTCACCGAAGCTTGCGTTACGCGGCCGTGGAAATTGAGGACGTAGGACTGGGTGTCGTCGTTCCACACGGGGGACTTGTTGTGCAGCTCGATCAGGTTTTCCATCGTGTTATTCTGCCACCGGTTCACGAGGCTCTCCTGTTCCTGCGGCGCAAACATATTCAGGATTTTACCCCTCGAATCCGCTGCTTTTTCCATCTATTCCCTCATCAGGGGTTGCTACAACGAGTCATTCTTAATCTCACTGTCCTCACTCCAACTACCTGATTATCTCCTCTTTGTCTTTTTCCTGGCAGCTACATCTTTGACATCACTCTACTAARATACCCAAAAGAGTAACACAACACAGTTAAGGTTGCTTTAACAATCATAGGGGTTCAAAGGTTCGACTCTTTTAGTACCAGACTCACGTTTTGAGGCCTTACAGGAATTCTTTCATAGTTCATGTTCATGCCGGGGATGACGACGGTCATTTTACGTGGYCCTTTAAATCCCAGCACGTTGGTTTCCTGTAAAAACAAACAAACAAACAAAAAGGGTACAAAATCAAAAGGCAATTTCACCCAAAGATAAAAGAACAAACGACAAAACCCACTCACGTAACAGACGGCAGCCAGCTCCTGCCGCATGGCGCTTTCTTCCAACAGAGTCCCCGTGTTTTTACTGGGATTACCGCCGTTGTCGTAGACTGTAAATTTGGTCCCCATAAGGTTTGACCTGATTTTAAAAAAAACCACACACTATTGCTGAACTATTTTTATAATTATATATGGAAGAAAGTAAAAAGAGTTTGTTTGCAAAGAATTTAAAAATGTAGACGGTTTGTAATTTCGTTTGTAACTGATAGATAAATCAGTGGAAGCTAACGCTAACCGCTAAAACGACTGGGACTGATGCAACCTTGTTTCTATTTGTTTAAATTGAAGGTGGGTGGGACCATATCAGCCAATCAAAACCAGTTATATCTCTGTCKAACTCGTGATACTTCCTGTTCACCTCTTTCGGAATAAAAACACATTTTTGATCAAGTTTTTATTTTTATGAAGTGTTTGAAGTTAGTCAACTAACAATTAGCAAATACTTTACCATATTTTATACGTAGTTTTTAACACTCTTAATTGGAAGTCTAGCTGCTAACGATGCTACATGCTACACACGGTGCCTGACACGACCAGCACTGCTTGTAAGGCGGGATTGTTTTTATTTAATTCAAGATGAATTACATTATAAACAGAAGTTTTACACTTGTGAATATTTTTAGTGGACTTAAAATTAGTAAAACCTAATTTAGAGGAAGCTAACTGTTCTGCTCACAGTTTCCAAAGTTAGCAAAAAACAAGTAGCTGATCCGCTAAATAAGAAGCTAGGTCCGCTCTTAGCAGTTTAGCAGAACTGCYTCCACTGCTGTGTAAAAGTGATCAAAATGGGAGGTTTTTTTGAGAGAATTTTGTCAGTCGTGCAGCGACCCACTCCCAAAGGTTTTACCTCAGTTTGCCTATGAAGCTCTCTCCCCCTCGCGACAAGTCAGTGGCATCGACTGAAATAAGGTAGTTGGACGTTTTGCTCTTCTTCCTCTTCCTGCCTGCCAGCAAAAACACCTGGAAAGAGAGATTACAACGCCTTTACGCTTCACTCACACGCTCCATATTTAATCAATTACTAGCTACCTTTCTGTTATCGTCTCGCTCCATGTGCATGAAGTAGGTCGGGTAGAGGCCACGGTCCATTCCCTTCTTGTCCCGGCTGATTCTGCATTTAACGGTGACCCCGCGAGAGGCCGGACGCAACACAAACTCCTCTAGATTAGCTACGTCCGTTAGCAGGCTATCTGTTGTGGGAGATCCTGGGATTGCATCCTCCTGGGTCAATTTYAAAGATGCTTTCGTTCAGACTTTTTTTTTCAGTAAAGAAATTCATCAATAAAAAGACTTTAGAACTCACGGGAACGTTGTTGCCACTAGCAGCCGAGGCGGGCCTGTTCGCGTCAGTTTGACAGGACAGAGAATGCGTGCGCTCGTCCTCCACGTTGTCCTCGTGCTCGCTGGCTTCGTCAAAGTTCATGCTGCCGCACAGGCCTGGTGGGAGACACGAGGCGAAGAGCGTCTTTGATTTTTCTTTTACAATTCATCCTGCTGGGAAGCTTATTCACTCAGGACAGAAGAAGCAAAAAAAAAATAAATAAATAAATAAAAAACCCAGGAGCTCAGTGTAAATTCTCCAGTCGTCTTTTAGTTTTGGCACAAAACAGTCCCTCAGGTGGATTTACTAATTCCTTTGGCTCATGTGACAAACGTTCATAAGAAATGATGCAACTTTTAGGAAATAACTGAAGGATTTCCCCTGAAATATTCCAGGGGGTGTGAATTATTTCGCATCGAGTTCGGCTCTTTAATTAAAAAGAAAAAAAAAAGACGAGTTGAAGTATTTAGCTCTTGTCCAAGCTCAAATCAAAAACATAATTATTAGTCATCACTAATCAGCATTTATCCTACAAAACGTCAACAACAAACAGCTTGAGCATGGTTTTCTACACCTCATTTCTCAGTTAGGCAGTCATGCAGAAGGAAAATGATCAGATCAGACTGAAGACATTTTGGACTGCCTGAGACATCTGTCTCCTCGTTGATAATTGGATTCATCCGCTGGACTGAAGTGTAGCACTTGGCTGCAGCTTTGCATTAGTTTACTGACAGAAGACAGGAGCATTCCAATGGAATTTTCATGCAAAGTGGGAGAAACCCTAATAGTGACAAGTTTYTTAGGGTTTGCCTAAAAGAAACACTTTCTAATATGTGGAAGCATTTGGGAGATCTTCATATAAAGAGGATGAGGAAGTCTTYATCGATACACAAGTTGAGGTACAATCAAAATATCGGTTAAAAACGGCGACATCATATGAAAAATCAAAGCTCGAAAGGAGAAATATTTGGTTGAACTGGACTAATATTAAGATGCTCGCCTTGTTTCTGCAGCATCTCGTGGATATCCATCTTGGGCTCTAGCAGCGTCTCAGTGTCTCCGTCTCTCTCTGTCTCTTCAGCGGCCGGGGACGGGGGCTGGGGCTGGGGCTGGCCGAGCCCAGGGGGGGACTGGGTCTGGGAGCAGCTCACCGACATGATTTGGATTTTCATTCCCAGATCGGGGGCTTCTGAGCCTAGGAAAGCTGCGGGACCATCAAAACCTACAGGAGAGGAAAAAGAAGCTCGGAATTAGAATTTTTTTTTTTATCAACTTCTTGACTTTGTCTGTAGGTCAGTTTCATGTAAATGTTCCAGTGTTTTTATTGGTTTAACCCAGAGATTCTTAACCCATGGGCCACGGAGCGCCACCTTGAGGGCCTCAACAGAACAACAGTTTTTAACTTTGGGCCYCAGAGGGCCGTCGGACCGTATTGATTTTGAATAAGGTGCAATACACTTTCTCACCACTAGTAGCAGTAGTGCGCCACTCAGTTGTTTAACAACTTTTTTAATATGTAGAAGAAGAAKCTTAGAAACCTGCCGAGAATGGAAAACTATTTTAAATTAAAAGTAGAAGCAAAGATGAAAGTAACTCGACAAAAACACTAAAGTTTGTCACTAATATGAAATGCAGCTTCTGTTTTTACCGCGCAATATTTTAAAAGTTCAAAACATTATCAAATACAGT